TTTCTCCACGAAGTACCTCCTGTCTGCCGACGGTTCCAGCCCACACCAAGACTCGGTACACTTGCGGGTGTCCGATGTATCTGTTCATGTGGGACATCCTGCCGCACACACGAGCCAAGCATATCATACAAACAGTCCAGAGAAAATTACCGGGAAAAGCATATATTGCAGCAAAGGGGAAAATATAATCCTAAACATAACGTTTGTCCAGATGGAGGAATTCATAGAATCTGGTTAAAATTACAGAACACAGAAAACAATCCTTCTTACTTTGGTGAATGCAGAAATCGCAGCTTCAGATCAATTAGTACTACTGATAGCATAGCAAAGCGTAGAGAATCCTTCTTTTGGCTAAATTTTGACAGAATATACCATTTTCCTCTTTGTATCAGAACTATATACCAAACTGATTCAAAACCATATCAAAACTATCCAAATATGCGTCACGACAATTAGAACCTATATCTGTATGAATAAAATGCGGCATGATGATAGCTCGAGATGCGGATGTTGGTGTTGATGTGTCGTCCGAGAGATACATAGAAGTGTTGTTTGCACTGATGTTGCCTAGACTGGGTACGAAAGGTCTGCAACAGTTCAAGCTCTCGGAGGACACATCAACACCAACACGATGTACTGCGGTTAGCTGGTTGGGCTGGTGTTCTGATTGGTCGGTTGTGAGCCCACAAACTATTATCTGGTTTGCTTTTAGGGCCCCTGTGGTGATTCAAGCCTACCCTGGAGCGGCGCGTTAGTTTCTGGACACCTGCGATCAATCAAATTTCAAAGGTGACGTCAATGACGTGCGTACGTGTCACAGCTTCAGACTACACGCCATAGACACCTTGTGCCAGCCAATCCGAGACAATGCAGTTCAGAATGATGCAAGCGACACTAAAACGTGATTGGTAGGAGCCTCGATAACCAGTGATCTTCTGTTGTACATATTATTTAATCACCTTCATTTCTTCCAATAAACGAACAACCATTCCTGTGGTCCTTTCCTCGCGTCTCAGTTACGTGGGACATTGCGTGCTAGTGCCATTGCGGTCCAGGGCTTCAGTGATACAGTTCGTGATAGATGATCCGCGTTCCGAATTCAGTGCGCATTACTACCACTACTACTACTACTACTACCACTAATGCTACTACTACTACTATTACTACTACTGCAATCACTACAGTCCCATTCTACCCCCTCATATCGGCGCACTAGTTAGTGGTGCACAAAGACGGCGGAATGCATTCGAGCCCCATTTCGTCACTTGACCCTGCAGCTATCTCCGACTCTTACCTCCTGGGCCTTTTGAGAACGCGAGAAAATCATGGTACAGAAGAAGAACGAGCTGTGATCCGGTTTCTCGCGAAATGCCGAACTGAAGACCGAGAATACGTCGTATTGGATCCGGGACACGAAAAACAAGGAAGGCACCGTGATGCGACGAGCAAGCATATGGCTTGAGTTAGTTGCGAGGGCGAATAAAGTGCAAACATGAAATGCGGTTTGTCTTGCGTTTACTGTGTCAGTATTTGGACCATACACTAATTATCATAGGTACAACGAGCAAAACAACTTGTCCCGGTCTGAACGTGGACTGAACGATCTATGATACTTTTCGGCAAAGCCCGACGATTACGATACGCGTCCTCGCCCACAGACCAATCAGAACGTCAGTTCAGCCAACCAACCACATGACAACTCTGACATAAACTCAGTTTTTCGATCCCTAGACATGCACGGTAGGGCGTTTCGTGTGTGTTTCCTCGATTGTAGTAACGATTTTAACTGTGTTGACAGGAGCAGGATTTTTTCTCTACTCCAAGGTGCTGAATTGTCCCATAATACCCTCTCTCTACTCCAAAACTATTTGGCTGGTAGAACACAACTCACGAAGTTTCTTGGAAAAACCTCTGAATCCCTACCAGTCAACTCAGGGGTACTCCAGGGAGCAACTCTGTCCCCCTTTGTTTTCTGTTTATATATTCGTGATCTTCCCACTAACCCAGATGATCTTATTAAGTATGCTGATGATGTCACAATAGGTTCAAAATTCCAAGGTGGCTTCCACTTCTCACATATTCAAACCAATTTATCTGCCTTAAACTTATGGTCTTCGTCTTCTAAGTTAGCGATGTCACCTTTTCACTCGCCAAAGGAGAACGGCTACATTATTTTGAAAGAAATTGTTCTGCGCTCTATGTTGACAACCAGCCTGTTCCCCCAGTAAATTCTCTACAATACCTCGGTGTCACTATCAGCCAAGATCTCACTTGAACCTCACATTTATATTCTACTTTTGTAAAGATTCGACGGTCGTTTCTTTATTTCCCGCTTGCGTTCTTTGAAAGTTCCACCATACTTACTCACTCGAGTTGTATATTCTTGTGTTGTTACTCATCTTCTCTACTGCTCCCCGGTTTTATCTGCGGTCTTAGAGCTGAAGACTGCACAATTCTACACCGGTCTATTAAAATTATTTCTCGCACAAGCGGTATTCCTTATTTGCACTTGCTTAACTTAATGGTCGATAAACATTTTATCTCTTGCGATAACTTCTGCAACAATATTCTATCTGATACCACTCACCCATTACACACTGAACTTAAACAATGCATATCCACTTCTGTAATGAGATGTCGTTATAAACTGGTGCATGCTCGTACCACTGCCTATCGTTTGTCCGTCATCCCCTATCTTTCGAGATTTCTGGCGCAAAAGATATCCATTAGAGAGGACTTTTTGAAATTCCTACGCAACTGATATTCATTTTCAAACCTTTACTCCACATTCCTTTGAATTGACGATGCTGTTTTATTCACTTATTTGTGACTGTATGCGACGATAAATATTCCTGGAGTTCAAGAAGCTGAGAATCTATCCATTAGGATGAATAGCGGGATTTTTGACTTGACTTGACTTGAATCGAAGCATTAGTACATCGTTTTGACATACAACTGAACAGTTTTGAGATAGCTCTGATGAAAAACGGAAAGTGTTATGTGAGCGAAAACAGAGGAACCAGAGTCACAGAGTCACATTCCTTCAACAGCTTCCGCTGGAGGTCATCAGGTCAACTACTTCTTATAGTGTTGTCAGAAACAGTTCATTTTTAGACGTCATGTGATTCAAGTACAGGGTTGATGTAAGGAGGACTCTATGCCAAAAGCTATTCATTATGTTGATTAATGGTGTATTTGACGTAGTTATGGATTACGGATCACGAATCACAACTAAAGCACTGAATCGTACTGGCCATTGTATGCTGGAATCTCTCGTCACCGTAATGCAGAAAAAAAGTCACAAAAGTAGTAGTTCATTTATTGAAAGAAATCAAGGGGATTAAATAATATATACAAAGGATCATACAGGTATGCATCACTGGCTTGCTTGTACTCCTGACGTCATACGGCTTCTGTCTGTACCGCAAAAGGTGTACGGTGAAACACACAAAAAATTCTGTTATCTTGTATTTTCCCATGTTTAACCGTTTCACCCACTTTTCACTATGTTCTGTATCTTAATCCACCTATCCCCTTTCACTGACATTGTTGTTGCGTTGGCACCATATATATATATATATATACATGACTTCTGATTGGTCGGCACGATTCGTTGTCCAGAAGCTGTAACGCGCAGGCGCTTGAGTAGTGTCATCTGGTAGTGGTTGACTCACCCCACTAGTCCAGAAACTGTAACGCGTCGCTCAATGGTTGGCTTGGATCACCACACAGAACTTGAGAAACACTTGATTGCTGTGAAACTGCTCCTTAACAGCTTCAAGTCAAGGTTCAATAAACCAGGAAAATTACAAGGAATCACCCAATTGGTATGGGAAGAACACGCTGTTGGAAGAAAGACCTTATCACGGACAGATCAGAACAGAGATGACGCAACCTCTTTATCTGAGAGGAAAAGACTTTCAGCTTCCGGGAAACAATTTGGGTACGTAAAGACCGTAGAAAGTGGATATCAAGATTAACACCTAAGCAGCTCACATAGCTAACCTACTCATTGGCTTATCGTTGATCTGTGCACAGGTCAAAGGAGATGTGGCACATTTTTAACTAGGCAGACATCCGATGTATTGTTCGGGATTTCGATTTAGTTTGGACAACGTGGAGTAAGTAGTGAAACAGAATACCTTGGTATTGCCCATTGCCAGTTCTAAGTGAATACAGAAGCGGCATTCAGTCATATCACTCAGTGTCTCCAACCACCGGTCACAATGACCCTGAGGTCACCATCTAGGGAGCATAACGTCTGAGCCAGCCTCCTGATTAGGATTTTCATATCCTCGTGCCAAATGTGAACTTAACCAATTTAATCTTTCTCGGAACCGTGAAACGCTGTGACATTTCCCCCCCCCCTCCTCTCTCTCTCTCTCTCTCTCTTAGATCCACAAATCGTTTCTGTGGCGCCACAATCCCTATGAGGCCCCCTCAAAAAATCCAACTACTTGGAAGTATTTCCCATAATAAAACTGACTCTTTCATTGACTGATAAACTGGGAAATTTTCTGACACCCATCTTGGTCTCATTTTATCCAGCACGATGATCATTTTTCTCGGTCACTAAAAACTGGAATCAGTTTCATCGCATTTCATTTTCATTTTCCAGTGTCAGTGCATTCCAAGACCGTCAGGTAGTTAGCAACATCTACATCGAGATTTTCAGAATCACAATAAAACACAACAGAAAATGCAAACACGACAGTGTTTATCATGACATTTATTTGGCTGGTTGTGCGTGCCTTGTGTTTCTAGTCCTCTGGTATCACCTCAGTTCGTATTTGATTTGCGCGCACTGACTGACACATGCATGCATGCATGACACGGGGCCACATGTCAGTCAGTTCTGTGCCATCTATCGATCTCTGTCCCGGCGATCAATGAACGCTTCAAATAATCACATCTGACCTGCTGCCTAATCGCACGAGCATGTAGGAACCGTGTGATGCGTCCCTATTTGTCTTCATCGAATCCGATTGTATAAGATCAGCATGCAAGTTTGGAACACTGCGGATTATGTGTCAAAAAAATTCGCTCTTCGCGAATGTCCCATTGTGCTGGCACAGCTATTGAACACAACCCGTGTACGATTCGCTCTGTTACAAACCAACTGTTATCTGGATGTGCAAACACGTGTACTCAATTGGCGTCATCGTGCTACACCATGGACTAAAGGTGCCATTGTTGAGGTGGCCGGACCAAATTATTCTTCCATTGATCATTGTAATGCTCTGATCGATGCGATTGTCCCATTTTATGCGACCAGACGACCATATGTGGAAATTTCACCACCCGAAAGGCGTCGAATACGCTCACGAAAGGCAGCCTATAAAAAGGAGAAAATCTATCGTGCTTTAAGTTCCGTGCCTGTACCCAATCGATGTGAAACTGGGCCAATTCCAGATTGTCTGAGGGACGATTCGTATTTGACTAATCCATATTATTTTATGCAAAATTACGATACACCTCAGAACGCGACCGAACCGGATGATGATGGTGATGATTATCAGCAGCAGCAGCAGCAGCAGCAGCTATATCTGTCTCGATCAAACCATCCTCCAAAAGAGCCGAGAAAACCACGGGCACAAACTCTACCCGGTCGGATACAAACAGAGCCGGTTCGTCTAGGATACATATCACAAAAAACAAGCGAAAATGAGTTTGTGAACAATAAATCATCCGGTGATCCCGAGCTGAGACCAAATTCCATATTGGAACCTGGTGGAGATGAAATAGCCTCGACAGGGGAACAGAACAAACACAATGCTACGGGGTTGGTGGAAACTAATTTTATCCCGACCCTGGAACAACCGACCACGATCAACCGTAAACGATCCGGTCCAGAAAGAAATTCCACCTATCCGCGACCGAAACTTTTCGAATCGGAACGGTCTGCACGTTTGGCTATTCACTCCCAGAAAGCGGCTGCTGTTCGTGCCAGTTTGCAAAAAATGAAAGAGGACAAAATGAAACGTATCCCGGTCGTGACCATTCACAAAACTTCGCACCCGTTACCCGCGAAAACCGTTAGCCGCGTGGCTAAATCGTGTTTTCCCCGTGCAATGACTCCAAAAGAGCTTGGAGATCATGCAATTCGTAGGCCCGGGTATGATTCATCCAAATTGCATGAAAAATGCTCGCGCGATCTCTCCCCAGATCATCGTGGTCAACCGTCCTGGGATCGATGCGGCCGTAATGCCCAACGAAGTCAACCAGGTTATACGGCTGTGAAAGGCCAATCAAATTTACTTATGCCTGAAACCGACACTTATGTACAATCACCGCTAACTCGTAATCTGCTGGACAAGTCTCCGTCAGAGATCGTGCAGTTATTTACCGATAACGGCACACAACAAAAACAACTACAAGGGACGAGAACAGAAATCAATTCGACCGAAATACAAATCACTAGCCCCGGTCAACCGACGGAACAGATGGGAACTGGTCCAGTCCCAACCGGCAATCCATGTCCGGATCATACCGAACGAGAACAAACCAAAGGACCGGTTGTCACCTCGGATGCACCGGAATTCAGTTACGCAGCTGGATCGTTGCTCGATCCGAATGTGTCATTTCCAACCGAAATGAATGTGGATACGGCAACCGAGGACCCGTTGAATGGAATTCAACGATCATTTCAACCGTCCGGTTCCCAACTGACCACGACCATGCATCAAGGTTTAATTTTTCCAAATGTCCAAACCGCATCCAGTTCTCGTTCATCGCACATTCTCTTATCCGCAACCCCGGCATTTTTCAATGAGCACGAATATGTGGAACCGGGGATAACGATGCCCAATGCGGCCGGTGAATGTCAATTGGATTGCACGAATTACGTTTCGATGAATATCGCTCAAGCAGTGAGTAAAGCACTGACTGATATGGCAGAGTATCGCCTAAAATCAGGCGGTCAGATACGAAAAGAATCCGTAAATCCGGAACCAAGTATGATTTCGGAATTTAGTGCACTGGAACCACGAATGAATAGTCTTCATGTCCCGGTCTGTGCCTTGACTCGGTCACACAGTGTTAACGAACCTCAGTCATTAATTAATGAAAACACGGAAGTGACCCCAAATCATTTGTTGAGCACTGTGCTCAATACTGTCGGCTGTCGGAATTCACGCATAGTGACTGGGACAAGCATCAAGACTATGGATGAGAGTTATGTAAAACAAATGAACCAGCCGCTAATTCCATCCCCCTGTGTGAATGTTCGACCCCGGCTATTTGAACGGATAGATTTTTGTTCCCAAGAGACCACAGATAGCCAAGATATTCTCGAGTCAGCTACGTTGGACAAGCCAACTGAAATCGATTTGGGTCAACTACCACGACGAAGTGAAGTCCGTACAGAAGAACCGAGATCGGGACCAGCACGGACGTGGAATAAACAGATGAAACAAAACACCCCCTTGGCACCTCCTAAGATAGTAAATACGTCAGTTTTCGCATCCAAGGCATTGAGTGAAAAGCGAACAGGCAATATGGATTCGAAATCCAATTTGAGGAGGACAAATGATCCCCGGCAAGGTTATTCGGCAGCATTTCGTAATCAGAAACAAAATCCACGTGGTCGGAAAATAAACCAGACAAATTCCACTTCGCTGACTCGAGCATTAGCACACACCGGTGTAAGTAACAGATCGGGTTTCCGAAATGCCAGGCCACCGGTGTCACCAGGTCATTCACCCCGGATCAAAAAGGACATTGAAATAGTTTCGCAAGGACACTCCAATGAGGTTTCCGATCGATCACGCTCACTGAATAAACTAATGGTATCACAAACAACCAATTCTACGGATCGTCCGCTCAAATGGACGTCTCCGATATCCGTACCGCATTCAGAAAACACCGGTTCTCGATCGATAGTGGATTCAGTAACGGAACGGAATTTAGAATTTGTAGAACCTAATTCACCGGACGAACGGGAACGGCAACATCCCAAGCTATTACCTCAATCTTCTCCCGTAGAAAGACGAACGGGGGATAACCATGTACCGGATTCCTCACCTATCAGACCTATTAGCAAAGCCATGGAATATTCTATCGGTGAGTCTACCGCACTGACACCGTGTTATCTTCCTCGGCCCAGTCCCAACTATATGTGGTTGTCAAAAAATCGTGATCCCAAGATTGAAGTGATCGAGAATTTCGTCGATTTCGGCCTGATCAGTTTAAAGGAAATGGCTGAACCGGGTGAATTACCATTGATCAATAGATCTTTAGTACCATCTGTTCCAGGTACTTCAGTTGAACCAAGCCCTTCGGCCGCATCCACCGATTTGTTTATAGGACTTCATTCACCAAGTGGAAATCGTCATTCTGTTGGCACGAGTCATGCCGTATCTAGTACCTCGAAAACCACCACAGAAACAGAATCTACCGACAGTTTGACCCAGAGCACTAGCGGGAGCTCGGGAAGTTCCTCATCGGATCCCAGTTCCAATGACGGAACTCCGTTCCCATTTCCCGAGCATCGGAGTAGAAACGGTCAGCTCAATACTGCTGGTATGGCCAAATTCACCACGGAGATTGGACATCCGAAACATATTTCCGAGTGTACTTTACAAAAACCCTCGTTACCACAATATCAATCACGTGATTCGTATCGCGTTCAATCGATCAAAAAACGAAAACCACGTCACTGTTCAAGTGTGGAAACCCGAGCTATGTGTGAATCATATTCTGCATGTAAAACCCGCTGTCGTTCACGAAGTGTTTATAACTTCATACTTCGGTGTTTACCATTGCAATGGTGTTTTGGTAGCGGATAATCTTTGTGGCAAAGAGACCCACTCACAGAAACTGGACACAATTGTTTGCACGTTTGTGCTTTGTTTCTTTTTCAACTTCTTCGCGCTTCAGTTCCCATGCTCCACTATTGCTATTTCCAATTGACTTAATGGTGAAGTGTTTTTGACTTACCTGCACACACACACACACACACACACACACACACACACACACACACAACATACATAAAAAAGTGAACTGAACCTTGACCATAAATAGGCATGAAGCCACAATCTTGTTCCCTACAAAAGCAACGGAAACGTGAGTGTGACAAGCCACCACCATCACCAACAACAACATTTCTGGTCCTGAAACAGTTGAATACTGTTTAACTGGAACCTGGTATTCTGTTCACTTTCAGATTCTAAATCTCATCGTGAGAACTATATTCAGCCCAACCTGACCTGATACTCACTCACTCACTCATTCACTCACTCACTCAACCGGTCAAGTTGAGTTGGACAGATGACAAATACTTTCCATCAGACAAGCACAGAGAGAGGGGGTGAGACGTTTTGGTATATTTTGCGGGCCTTGTCAGACTCGTCATTCTGAGCGTTCTAAGAGTGCCAGTGAGTGGATTAGCGGGTGAATCGATGATTATACGGGTGATTTCGTTCGCAAGTCACCACACTGCGTGCCGTTTGTCGAGGCACGTGTTGTAGCGCGGTTGGGGGAGATTGGCATGATGGTGTGAAAACCCTAATCGGAAGACTTGTTCACGCAGGCCACGTTAGGCTCCGTGGGTCATCGTAACCGGTGGTTAGAGACACTGAATGATATCGCCGGATGTTGCAAACAGTGACACTTGTACGTCTACCCATCATTCTATAGAAACCGCAGTCTCTCATCATTCCTCTATTCATCCCTACTCGTTAATCCAAATGAGCTGTCATGAGACGGATAGAAACCAAAGCCGGTCCATGAAAATGCATGAATAACGATTGTAGAAGCTGAACTGAAACTGCCGATAACATGGGTTTTCGGTTAGTGGACAGTTAGATCAGACAGTAAACACGAAGATATAGTAGGGGGGGGGTCACACTATTTATAGATCCAGTTCTGCACAACTCCAGAACTGAAGAACGATGCTTGGATTTTAGTTCACTCTTTTGGAGTATAAACTGTAATGAGCATCAGGGGAAAATAACTCCGAGGGAATCGTAATGTAATCCGAGGAAACCATGAATGTACAAGAATATCGTGTTCAATAAGACAAACGTGTTCACGGTCTATGTGCAATCACCACATCTGTCACAGCTGAAGTGAGACTCTAGCTTTCGGTAATCGCGGCGATCTTTGTTGTGCAACCGTTCAGATCTTTGTGATATTGCGTTAGTATTTTCAGCACTTACACTGGAGTTTAATCCAATTGAAAACAAAGAATTAGTAGACTCAGAATTTGTATCAGTAATCCTAGGCAATAGGTAAATGTTTTGATTTAAATGTCTACGATGTACATAGTACCATCGTCTAAATCCCATATTCAATATACTCTTTGTCCCGTTTAATTTCGGGGTGGTTGTAACTTATTACCACGATAATACACGACTTGCTCAGATTCGAAAAATTTTAGATCAGATTCGACAGAACATACATACAACGCTGACAGATAGAATTAATCGAGAAACGCAGGTGCATGGCTTCTATTGCGATAGTTTCGCATCTATCGAAATTTTGCTATCTCCAATTTTGCGGTGTTGAATATATACCACATCGCCGAGCATCCCATCAACAATCCGGTTCAGTGTTTTTGTATATCGCGTCACTCTCGGGCACCAGGGCCGAATCGCATAGTCTTGGTGCAATCGAATAGAAAATGCTAACAGATGTGAACGCGAAAGTTTCGTGGAACTGTTTTTTTTAGCTCCCCCAGTCGAGTTCTTCGCAGAAATACGGTTAGATTATGTCCACCGATAGGTCTGGTGTAGTGTTCCAAGTCTCCGAGATAACGCCAGCCAATGGGACATGCTACAGTTTCTGAACAAAGAACCACAGGTCACTAGTATCGACCAATCAGAAAGCGTGCGAGTCATACAGAGGTGGTGTGATGAAGAAAATACAACCAGGCGATTGGTGGATATCTGTTTAGCAAATAACATTTCTTTGTCGATGTTATTCAATTCCGTTGATTTCTTCCAGTAAACGAACAGCTACTTCTGTGGCCCTGTACCTGCATCTCAAAGATTTCGGCGTACGATTACCCGAGTGATTCCGTGCTTCACTTGGTGTTACGAATTGTGATTTGAGATTCGTGTCCCATGACTACACCTGGTCAAATTGTTTTATTTTTTGTCTTCGGCAGCACTGATAGTACGTAACTATATTTATTGGACGCAATACTGAGCTTGAGAAAGTACTCTATAATTCTCGAAATGACCGAATAAACTGTCAACTATAACACGAAACTGACCGTACAAGGCAAGTGAATTGGTGGTACGTGACGGGGTCATTACAATACCGACATTTGAGCACGCGATCCAGCAAATGAAGAAAACCTGGCGTGATGATCCAGGCCTACGAGATGACGCCTAACCTGGAGCGGTGCGTTACAGTTTTAGGACAACTTCGATCAATCAAGCTTCCCGGGTGACGTCACAAAAGTGCGTGTGTGACACAGCATCTGAACTACATACCACAGGGCGATCGTACCCGACAATCAGAAACCGTACCACCCAGACAGAAGCAGACCAACGCCAGAACTACTAGAACGTGGTTGGCAGAGGCCTGTATGAACAATGAGCTTGTTTTGAACACATTATTTGATTCCCCTTATTTCTTTCAATAATTCTGTGGACTTTACATCGCGCCTCGGTAACGATAAACGAGACATGTCCTAAATTTAGATATCCGCAGCAGTAGAGAATAAAAAAAGAATATATGACAACATTTGTCTCCACAATCCTTAAATAAACTCATTCGTGCGGAGTAAAAATGCCTGCAAGCATTTCACAAAGCAAACCTAGATCACATTGAATAGTGGACAAAAATAAACGTAATAGAAAATAATTGAGCGAACATGATGATGAACAGGTGCACTCAAACAACAACAGTCGATTAGGAAAAAAGATTCGAAACCAAACAGAAATTGATATGACCGCGAATCAAAACTAAGATAAAAAAGAA